CTATAGCTTCAGCATTTGGGGACACCCTAGGCCTCTATCCAAACTTCTCATCTGAGCCAAATGCACAATAGACAGCTGCCAGGTTTAGATGTCTGAGGAAATACTGTAAACAAAAAGGATATTGGAGGATTTACTGCAGCTGTCCATGGCCAAGTTCACACAGTGAGTTGCTATCCTTGTTTTGTTCTTTTGGGGGACAAGATCTGTTTACCAAGGTAGTATAATCTAGTACAGGTAGAATCTCTCTAGTACAGCACGCTCTGGTCCAGCAACATCCATGGTCCGGCATGATTTTAGTTAGCTGCATGTCCATTTATCAGGGATGTGGCCAAGTTTCCCACAGTCCCATAAAGTTTGTTTATAGCCAGCAGTTCTGGCTTTCAGTGTCCTGTGCTGTTTAGCTCTCTCTCACCCCCAACGTGTCTCCTCTGAGCCCAGTTGGCAATGCTTCTAGACAGTCCTATCAAGGCCATTATAGACAATATTGACCTCCTGTGGTTCAGTAAATTCTCTAGTCAGGCACATGTTTGGTCCCAAGGGTGCCAGACGACACTAATTGAGCAATGGTTCAGAATTACGATAGGGATAGCCCTAAACCTTTGGAAATTTTAGACATTGTCTGCAGATCCTAGATTGAAAACCACTGTTCTATGGTAATGACTGTCTTTTGTCAACTGCTTAGCTATCGTCTTTGGCTTTCAAGGGGTCTGCAGGCCACAGATGGAAAACTATTGCCCTAAGAGCAAGGGAAACAAAAGATTAATGCTAGTCATTCAACAGCTGTCCATGGTGCTGAAATCCAAGATTCACATAGTGCACCTTTGTCGGCACCATTTTTAAAAGAGTTGACTTCTAAGGGTTAAAACAAACGTAGCAAAGGCTGCTTTCTGTTTCTGAACAGGGTCCAGGGGAAGTCTTAAAGTGTGAAGGGGAGATGGTGGCTTGTCCTTCTGCCAAGGAAGGATTGGTCTATGTGTTGCTGATGCTACTTTGAGACCTTCCCAAAGAACAAAAGTGTGTGGTCAACCCTGGTTCTTGACATGAGTTAAGAACTTTCAGTCATACTAGGTTTGTTTAACAGGGATCTTAATGTCTTGTTGGTGCCTAATCTAACAACTGGTATATGTCGTTCTGTTGAAAGTAATCAAGATGATTGGTACTTGGAGTCCTTTTGTTCCACAAACTCTGAACTCTGCATGTCTCTTTCACAGTTGGGTCTGGTACCACCAGCCACTCATGTTTAATTACACTGCCCTGTTTGTGACAAGTTGGGAGAGTTGCTAATATGCCTTTCGGCACAGCGTGGCTCCATGGTGATAAAGCCGTATCTGTATGCTGAGCTGTACCCTTGTTGGGTTAAGGGCATGTATTAAAAAAAGCTCTTTCTTGCTGTCACTTAAATGGTGTCAGGATTTGTGAAATCTTGCTTTCAGACTTCTAATAGACCCAGCAACAAAGACTGCTTGTTGCAAGCTCATTGGCCTCTGTTTGGATCCTTGTGACGTCTCCGCAGATGTGTGCAGGCGAGAGGGAGAGGAGAGCGATAGAAGTGAAGCTTTGTAACCGCATGTGTGACTGCAAGCATGAGATTGATTCCTCTCTCAGCCCAGTCCTCATTTCATGTACACCTGGTAGAGCCCAGTCTTGTGGGGGAGGGGATTGGGGAATACTGCTCTGTGCACTCTGATGCTGATTTGCAAGGTTTTCAGCATCACTGGTGATTTGAGAGCTTGGCTCATAGAACACTAGACCTAAAAGGGACCTTGAGAGGTCCCCAAGTCCAGTCCCCTGCCCTCATGGCAGGACCAAACACTGTCTAGAGAATTCCTGATAGACGTCTATCAAACCTGCTCTTGAAAATCTCCAATGATGGAGATTTCACAACCTCCCTAGGTAATTTATTCCAGTGTTTAACCACCCTGACAGGAAGTTTTTCCTAATGTCCAACCTAAATTCCCCCTTGCTGCAACTTAATCCCATTGCTGCTTGTCCTATTCTCAGAAGTCAACAAGAACAGGTTTTCTGCTTCCTCCTGGTAACATCACATTGTCCAATCTCTGTAGTTACAAAATTCAATGTTAGGATTTGGTGCCCTCTGCATGTCTCACTCCCAAGAACACCTCCAGTTTATATAATGCTCCAAATGAATCAAGACGGTCAATATCAACCAAAACTAGTCACGTTGTACTGCTTTTCAGGGACCGGCATCTAAGTGGTGGACATCTGCAGGATCTAAATGCCAAGGCCTTTAGGGTTTTCATTTTCTAGCCCTGTCAGCATCTGGGTTTGTGGCTTTGTATTTTTGGCTGACCTCTGCTCAGCTCTCTTGGTCACAGTAGCAGCTGTGAGACTGGCCTGGTGTCAGCCTGATAACAGAGCTCTGCCTTGTTATCTGGAATATTGTGTCCAATTCTCTCTCCCCGCCCCCCCCCCATATAAAGGATGTGGATGCATTGGACAGGGTCCAGCAGAGAGCAACGAAAATGATCAGAGGGTTGGAGGAGATGACCTATGAGGAGAGGCTGAGGAATTTGGACTTTAGTCTGCAGAAGAGAAGAGTGAGGGGGGATTTGATAGCAGCCTTCAACTTCCTGAAGGGAGGTTCCAAAGAGGATGGAGAGAAACTGTTCTCAACGGTGACAGAATGAGGAGCAATGGTCTCTTTTGGGCAATGATGTGAAACTTAGTCCTGACCACTTGTGGACATTAGGAAGCTCTGAGAATTTCCCATGAGTCTCTGCCCTGTCGCAGACACTGGTTGTTGCAGCCTGTGTAACCAAGCAGAGAATTTGGGCCAAGGTGAGCATGTCCCAGTTGCAGCTTGCAAAGTCCTCGCCCCCTGACATTCCCCTGGCAATTGCAATTGGAGACTGTGCTGTAAATTCCCTGCTCTAAAGCAGTGTTGCTGTGTGTTGCAGGTATTAATCTGAATCCAGGTCCAGAAAGAAGCTTTGCCAGTGGCACCTACCTCTTAGAATAATCTGATCCAAACTCTTAGGTTGGAGCACTTTTGAGTTCTGGGGTGTTGGCATCCTGTGCCTAAATACTTCTTGGGCACTGCGAGCTCAAATCCGCTCCAGTAGAGGAGCAAGAAAACAATCACTTAAAAAACTACTCCAACTTAGAATCAAAGCAGTAAAAACAGAAACTGAAGGAAACCAGTGGTGATTTATCTCTGACATCCATTGTGTTATCTCAAGCCACTTTAAACCACCATTGAATCCATTGCAGCACTTTGTGTAAGACTCACGTATTCAGGAGGGGGCATTAATTTTGGGTGCTGTGGCTTTTTGGAAACTGCACCCGAGACAGGCTGAGCCTGATTTTTAGATACCCTGGGAATGTGTAGCTCTGTTCATGTCAGTTGAAGTTGTCAGTGCTCAGAAGAAGGCCCCAAGATTTTCTCAAATTTGGGCATAATCTGAGGCTCCACTGAAAATATGGGCCTGTGTAATGACAGGGCAGATTTTCAGAGTGGTTCAGTTTTAGCCAGTTATTTGGATGCCAAAATTAAAGCTGAGCTGTTCTGGAAAATAGACCTGTTATTTAGATGGCTAAATGGGAACTGAGTTTTCCTGAAAATCTGCCTCTGAGTTGTAACTTAACAGAACCTCAGAATGGATGAGACCATTTCGGTGCAACAGACTGTAAAATAGTCCATATCCTCCTGTTTTCTGAAGCCCTGTCTCCCTCTTGGAGTTGTGTATTATCTCACCTTCTGCTTGTTTTCTTCCGGAGGGAATTAGTCTTAACGCCGGGAGCTCACATCCAAGAAGTGGCATAAGCTTGGGTCTTAGTACTAAAAAAGAAAAAGCCCCTGAACGGCACTGCCCATCTGCTTCTACTTTTTTATATAATCATAGGTGGCTAGGGGCATGAGGGCTCTTGTTTTGGAGGGTGTATTGCAACTTTGAACTGTTTTATAAAAGGACACAGGCGTGTTAGATGATGCAAGACCTATTTTTCCCCTTCTTTTTCAAGTATGGCAGAAGTGGTTCTTAAAAGTAGCAAATGTCAACCTGCTTGTGTCCCATGTGCATATCTTATTGGCCTCTTTGTAATCATCAAGGACTTGTGCAGCTCTTGACTGGCTGGTCCTTTGTATCACTTAAATGCAGGCTCATTTAAGGTGTGTACCTTGTAAACTCTTTTTTCCTTTAATTCTTTATTTGACACCCCCCCCCCCCCCCCCCCCCCC